AGTCCATTTGTCAGAAATGGCCAAACCTTGGCAATAGGATGGATAAGGAAATTTGTTCCTAGAATGAGCATAGTGACCATCACAATCGGAGTCCTCTGTCTTGGGAGCGTCGTTTTTCCAGTGTAAATAAAGTACGGTCGCCTTCTTTCTATTATATCTTATATGTTTAAAGTCTAAAGTAAACAATATTTTAAGGATTTAATAATTATATTATTGTTAAGATATTTAAGTATTTTTCTAACTGTAACTTAATGAGCTTTCATAACAAATTGCTCAACTAAGGACACATCTCTTCCCCCAGCTTGCTTTCATGGGGCAACAGAATAAACATAATTTTTAACCATCTCCCTTCCTTCATTAAAACAATCAATCTAATTAATGATTGAACTTCTGGCAAGTCTTTTGTCTTAATAAACCTTGTACAAATTATTATATGCTACTGCAAAGGAATTTCCAAGATACTAATTAAACTTTACAGCCATTCGTTGCTCGAGTACGACTGAATCAATCATTTTTTGTCACAAGTCACCTACATATTGACGTCATTTTCACATTGTGACGTCACAAACATGGAGCAAACAATACATAACATCTGCTATTTATAGAACATGTGTATGACTATATGTCTGCTAAATTTCATTCCGATCTGAATTGTGGTTTTCTAAATATAGAGATAGTTCGCGAACTTTTTGATCACCCCTCGTACATGAAGTACTATAAAACGTAAATTGTAAAATATATCGCGTAATTCGAACAGAAAATTATACCAGATATCATTTCAAAGATACAGTATTATATATCATCTGAAAAAAGGTACAAAAAAATCCAGACATTCTGGGGATTGAGTCCAGGTCACCCGCCTGAAAATTGAACACGCTAACCATTACGCTAGTGGGACCATTTCTTGTAAGAGTCTTTATTATCCCTAGTAAAATCATTAAAAAATATTGAGAGACAAAAAAGTTGAAAAATTCGACTTTTTTAATTCGCTTCTGGTAGCGACTGGAACTATTAACGATGCACAAAAAGGCAATTCCGCAAATTTAGAAGTCATGTTCTATCATCTCTAATAAGTCTACAGTTCATATCTTTAGCCCTTCTTTAGAAATGCTGCGGAAAAAAAGTTTGTTTAAAAATCAGGATATTGCCCATAACATAGAACCGGAAGGGAATTTTCCAAAATTCTTTCAAATGTAACAATGGCTTTTTAAAACGCATTATCCCTGAAAGTTTGACGAAAAACCACTGAATAGTTCTTGAGATATGGCGTGCATATTTGTCTTTAAAAATATTAATAATAATTAAAATATTTATTATCAATTTTCAAACTAATTATATATTATGCATTCTGAAAAGAATCTCTATTAACCCTACTAATATCATCAAAATATATTGAAAAACAAAAAAGTTTAAAAATTCCACTTTTTAAATTCGCTTCCAGTAGCGACCGGAAGTAGTGACGACGCACGAAAAGGCGATTCTGGTAATCTAGAAGACATGTTCTATAATCTCTAATAAGTCTCCAGTTCATACCTTTAGTCGTATTTTAGGTTTGCCACGGACAACATTCCATTTAAAAATCAGGAATTTGCCCATAATTTGGAACCGGAAGTGAATTTTCCAAATTTTACTTGTGATGAACAAAGTTCATATAATAACTCATTTTTTGTGAAAGTTTCATTGAAAACTACTGAATAGTTTTTGAGAAATCGCGTGCACAAAATTTTGGTCAAAAAAAAGAATAATAATAAGAAACAGTAGAATCACTATAAGGTCTTCCGTGAAGACGGAAGACCTTAATAAGAAACAGTAGAATCACTATAAGGTCTTCCGTGAAGACGGAAGACCTTAAAAAAGAAAAATAATCTTAACCATCAGAATCAGTAGAAGGTCTTCCGTTGGAACGGAAGACCTTAATAACAATGACAATGATAAAACTTTTCCATCTCCCTCTTTATTTGGTATGGCACAAGTACTCTTTACAAAGACAGACTGTTGGAACAAGTCCTATGACGGCATTTAGTATTCACAGAGTTACCTGAGATAAGAAATGTGGTGTATTAATAGAATCATTCATTACTATGAGTGTGGGATAGTGAAATTCCACCGAGGGGACAAGATTCACGAACTAGGAAGAGGCTTTGCCGAGTCCTAGACAGTGAATCTTGGCCCTGAGGTGGAATTTCATTATCCCACAAGAGTATGTAATGAATGATAATTTTTCTCGTATTATTTTATCCAAAATAAGGGCATGCCATCACCATTGAAAAATTTATATTTCTAATTTAGCATCCAATTAAAAATCTGAATACGCCATCAAAGAAATCGTACATGAAAATTGTTTACACTTTTAAACTCAGAAAATAAATTTCAGTCCTCTTAAATCATTCTGAATTATATAAACTGGATTTAATAAAAAAACAACAAAAAACGATAGCATAACATTTTAGAAGAATCTTTCCGCGACCTACAAATAGTGCCATTTAGAAAGTAAAAATATGACAATCTTTTGAATGAAAATAAATTTGATTAAATAAATTAAACAACAACATTTTAAGAATAAGTTTTTTTTTTTTTTTCAGAAATTGTTAGAAGTATTATATAAGAAGAAATGTTTATGTTACCGTTCGCAGTGTAGTAAGACAGTGTAAGGGCTGGTACACACGATATGGCTTGCCTTATAAGTCATAAAACTTAAGTTTTTGCCTTACCGTGTGTACACCCTTAGTACACAGTTTTTTGAGCCTTACAAGTCTGACTTACAAATAGAACACTGCTCTATTTCTTAATACAAGACTTAGCTGAAATTTTCTTGTATATATTGAAGTGAACACAAAGTATTTTTGAATAAACTAATGAAAATATCCACAAATATTAATGCTTCTGTTCAACCTCTTCCTCTTTTTTTAAGAAGTGTGAATGTACTTGTTGGTATTACTATTACAAAGCCTTAAGTAATCTATTCTTCTATTTCAATGACCGAATGCACTATTTATGGCTGGAAACACTTGGGATTTATGGAAATGTACATTGTATATAATCTTAAGTCTTGCCTTAACGTGTGGACACGAGAGCCTTACGTCCTGCAAAATGTAAGGTTTTAGACTTATAAGGCAAGCCTTACTGTGTGTACCGGCCCTAAGACAGAAAAATCTCACACTGCTGTCTCACACCTGACAGGTCTATCTAACACCGGTGATTATGCGAAAATATAATATTCCACATGCCACAACCCTTGGTTACAATAAACAGATTGAATGTAAGAATTTAAGCATTTTTTTTCAAACTATGAGTGCATGTTTGTCTATCTGCTTTTGCCACATTATTAATGCAAATATACAACCACAGACACCGTTAAATTTTCACTTATTTTTAATCATTTTCTTCTTGAAAGAGGGCATGTCCCTTCATTTGAACAAACCAAATACCAATTTAAAGTTGATAAAAATATTGTGCTTTTTGTATGAAATATAAACTTCCAATGTTTCTCCATACAAAAGATTTGAATCAGACACAAATTTTGCACTTTGTCTACCAAGGACCTTAACTTGCTATGATGACCTTTAGTCAAGGTCAAAACATATCCACAGGTAATAAACAAAACATTTTAATTTGTGTCAAGTTTGAAGTTCACCATGATTACTAAGTAAAGGCCCAAACATGGTTGCGAGGACAGACAGACACAGTTAGGCTGAGGGATGGACCCTTACCAACAGACATTGTGATCCACTCCTAAATACCTCTTTGAACTTATTGGGGGGGGGGGGGCATGCATATGTGGAATTTTCTATTAAAGTCAGAACATAAGCATTGATTTGTAAATTTTTCAAACTTATGATGGAAGTTTTGATGTTTGCAAGCATAGTTTGGGCTTTCAAGAGACAAATGTATAAAAATATTGATCATTATCTTAAACCTTAAAATCAGGAAAACTTTGCAAATTGCACAACTTTGATATGATGTACTGCTCATTATAATCAGGTGAACAGGTTCTCTGCTAGCTTGCTGGTTTGAAAAATTAGAATGGACGACCACAGTGCCACTCATTGAATTTGTATGACTTTTTATTGCCAACCAAAAAGTGCACTGTTTATCTCCACATACAAATCTATGTGTTCTTAAGGTCAAGATCTAGTAAATGACTTTAGACTAACTTTTTGGTGCTAGATCCATTATGACGTCATAATCATTTTCAACTTTCTTTTTCCGTACTTTATGGCTCTAATAAAATTATGTAGAAAATAAAGTATTTTCATGGAATCCAATTTGAAATCATGAGAAAAGTAATCCCGATACCTATATTCAATTTAATACTATTTTAAAGAAGAGACCAAGAACATACAAATTACCATTTTCTGAGAGACTGTAGGCAATCTGGATACAATTCATTGGTCTGAATTGGAAAAAACGCCTGATTCATGACAGGTTTTCTTAATTTTTCATTGAAAATGACAGTTTAAAATATGATTTTTCGTCTTATTTACCTACAAATTATGCCCCGAAACAACTTCTTTGACCAAGCTAAAATCATTAAGCATCATTAAAGGAATTAATTTCTCAAATTTGAGAAATCTGTAGGCACCTTTCATTTACTAGATCTTGACCTTAACATATACTTTTACAATTAGTTCCATGAACTGTATACATGTACAAGTCATGTACTACATAAACACTTTTTCAATGAGTGGCACTGTAGCTTTCGGGTCGTCCATCCAAATTTTTTCAGACCAGTGAGCTACAGATCTGCAACTATTTCTCTGCTAGATGCCGAACACTAAAGATTAGAATCATGCATATTTCAAATATCAACTCCTCACCCTTGGGATTGAATTATGGATCCAGGGCACTTGAATATCACAGTTTTTTAAGGATGCTTTTTGTTCATTAACATCCTGTGAACAGTTTTTTTTCTCTAAAAGTCACAAAAAAGAACACTCTCAAGGATTAAAAATTAAAGTGAGTATTTTTTTTACCTTATAACACAATAAAATACTACTTACCCCTGACAATAAGTCTTATTTCCTCTTCCATTTTGCCCTCTGTATTTTTGGAAATACATTGGACTATGCCTTGATCATGTTTACTGACATTCTGAAAAATAACAAAAGATAAACCTACATATGCCTTACTGCCAATTGCAAGAAAAGTTTACTTTTATGATGTATTTAAAAGATAATGGGTGTTGTGGAAGATTGTGCTTTGTTACAACACACTTTGAAAAATTACGCATTTTGAAAAATTTTTTCAAAGTGCATTAAATTTGGGACCAAGTAAACGCACTTTGAAATTTTTTTTTTCTTTTCAAAATGCGTTAATATCAACCATATTGATGCACTTTGAAAAAAAAAGCTGAATAGCTTGGTCAATATTCTTGCAAATTTTAGGCATAATATATAATTATTTGAACCTGGTTGAATAACTTTTCGGTGATGACGTCACTTCAGGATCTGAGATGTAGACATTTTAAAGATTTTTAGTTTTCGCTCAGAGGTTCTCGTAAATGTAATAAAAGGGAAATGGGTCTTTTAGAAATAGTGGAGGAGTGATTGTTTAATAGCACAATTTCGTTTCTTTTTTTTTTTTAATTTTACCCAAGCTATTGACAAACAAGTTGATGAAACAATGATATCACACTCTTGGTTGAAGTCATCAATTCCCAAGTTTTATGGTCGATACAATGACTGTCAGCAAATACAGCTGACTGATGTTTTTCATACTAATTTTTTCATACACTGAATTGTCTACATATTTTTCTGTTTTTTTTTTCTGATCATGACATGGAGCACATGGCAGGTGTGACTTGTCAGCAGGGGATGCTTACTCCTCCATGGCACCTAACCCCACCTATGATGTTTTTAGAGGTCCATGTTTGCTCTGCTCCTCATTGGTATTGTTTAAATGGACTTGAATACTGTTCGCTATCTACATATTTCATCCAACTGATTCAAAGACGAATGCCACAAATATCTAAATGCTGACAAAAAGGACGTACAAACTTCACGTGCTGATACCCTTGATCTTTGGCATGTGATAATGTTGATCGGTGTTGTGATACTCATAGATGTATCTCAATAACTGTGAAGTGCAGAAAAAAAATTTCATTGTGTTTTTTGCAACTGTAGTGTATTCAAAACATAATTCAGTTCTTTTTGAACTTTTTACAATTTATTAATTATTTTAAGCACTGTAATTCATATCCAGAAACTCAATACCTTTGCTTTTATATCTTACGCACGCCCATGTTGGGGAGCAGTTCCTGTAACAACTTTTTATAAAATCATAAATGAATAAATATCTGATAACAAATGAAAAACAAATTGAAACATAATAAAAATCATTTAAAAAATTTAGTATAAAGAAAATTTTTAACATCAGTTCTCTGTACGAACCAAAAATACTTGGCCACGCACTATCATGGAATTTTATTTTATCACTAGATATTAGAGAGTGCCCTATATAAGGACTATAGGTGGGTAAATTTTGGACAGTACCTCCTTGGTTTACATGGCAACAACTTTGATATATTTTGTTATGGCAAAACTGACCTGATTGTCATCACCATGTAAAATAATTCCGTGCTTCCTTAATGTAGGAAAGTTATGAACATAACATGGGTTTCATTTTATAGCTAAGTAATGAAAGTTTCTGTGCATCTATAAATTTTATTCAATTTAACCCAAGGTTTTTAATATGATACAGATCAGTTTACATGAATTTGTCATAAAAATGAATACAAAGGTGTCTATTACTTGATATGCATATATAATTTTTTGCAGGCAATTGAAACTTAGAAAAGAGATCTTTTAGTAAGATAGAGCTTAGAGGTTCCGGTCACATGATGAGCTGAGTGTAAGTGTTTTTTTTCCAGCTCCGCTGTTAGTTTCTTAAATTTGTCCTTTCCAGTTTTTGTGAGATTTTTAAAACAGTTAAAAACTGTCCAGTTTGTTAAAAATAACTATAAGTACCTGTAACTATAAGTGTGATTTCCAAACTTCTTATTGTGAAGAAACGGAGATTGTCATTTTTTTCTAGTGTCATTAACCGTGAGTAGTCGCTCACAATGCAGAGAGACAGTAAAAATTTGGAGAGCAGGTTACAGAGAAAAAATCTTCTAAAGGCCACAGGAAAACACCAGATAGGAGGTTAGTGCAATTGAATCTCCAGTCAATTCCTACTTCAGTCAAAAATAGGGTGGTGTCTGGAAAATTGCCGCAAAAAAAAACAAAGAAGTAGCAGTTCTGATTGTGAGTCTACCGTTAGCGTACATGGTGCATTAAGTGAACTCAATCTGATACAAGAAGGCATATCAGATGTAAGGCACACAATGGTTAGTAAAGATGATGTGAAAGAGATTGTTACTTCAATTTTGACCGAATTAAAGTGTGAAATCAAAAAAGAAATCTTCGCCGAGGTTAAAGAGACAATCATGCCTGAAGTTAAGCAAAGCGTGACGAAACAGGTAAAGAAAGAATTCAGTGAAAAGATAGACAGAAAAACAAAGGAGTTTCAAGATCAGACCAAAGAAATCTCAGATGGGTTTAATTTGATTTTGAAACATTGAGAGAAAAATTTCATGAGCAAGCAAAAGAACTCAGAACTCTAAAAGAAAATTTGAAACGCTGTCAATCTTTGACTGAAACAGCAGTTACATTAGCGAATAACAACCAGTAGTATTCACAAAAAGACAATATTAAGTTTACCAAATGGAAGGAGAGTAAAGACGAAAATCTAGGTATAGAACTCTGTGCAATCTTGAAGGAGACCGTAAACGTTGACCTACATCCTTCGGATATACTAGCCATCCACAGAGTGCCAGGAGCTGAAAACGGCGGACCACGGCCAGTTATTGCCAAATTTCGGAACACCACGATGAAAGTGACGGTAATAAAACATCGGTCAAATGAGGAGGTGAAGAGGGTTTTGTGATGCACGACCACGTAACTTCTATGAATCCCCAATTGATAAGGGACTTGAATCAGGATGAACGCATTCAAAGCGCCTGGTATTTTAATGGCAAAGTCTTTGCGTTAGATTATGATGGATATAGACACCAATTTGACATCTTGGACAGTGTGTCTAATAAACTGAAACATCATGATTAGCCTGTTAAACAGCTGGAGCATTGAGTGGTATTTTCCGAACTTTTAAGATCGGGATCAGGAAACAAAAACTGTACTCTTTGTGACTTTGTGATTGGGATTGAGGTGAGAGAGAATGCGAACAGTGAGTGTGACAGTCTGGTATGTGTTGATGTTTATCCACATTTATTTGTGTGTTACTTTATTTCTCTAATAGCTACATATTACAGGCCGTATCCTTCTCTCTGTTTGATAATTATTTTGCCATTTCATATAATATTTAATGTCAGATAGCATAAAAGTTGTTACAGTGAACTGTCAGGGGCTTGCAACACCATCAAAACGGCTCAATGTTTTGAATTTTTACAGAAAAAAGGGATATTCAATTGTATGTTTGCAAGACACCCATTTTACAACAGAAATTGAACCGTATGTAGAAGGACAGTGGGGTTACAAATGTCTATTTAATTCTTTTAAATCAAATGCAAGAGGGGTTGCTATAATGTTTGATAACAACTTCGAATTTAAAATACATAGTGTAAAAAGAGATAATAGTGGTAATTTGCTGGCATTAGACATTACAATTGAAGATAATAGAACTACTATCATAAACATATATGGTCCTAATTCTGATGATCCAGATTTTTATGACATGGTCAGAGAAACTTTTACGGAGTTTGATAATGAATATTTGTTACTTTGTGGTGACTTTAATCTTGCCTTAAACCCCTCTTTAGATACTTTTAATTACTGTGGTGTCAGTAACCCAAAAGCACATGGAAAATTGTTAGAGATTATGGAAGATCTTCAGTTACTTGACAACCCCTTACAGAAATTTCTGATAAATGACTTATAAGTGATTTATTCTTTTACTTATAAGTTGTTTATACTGGACTTATACTTCACTGATACATTTAACTTATAAGTGACTGATTAGTGACTCATTAGGATTTTATATGCATATGAGGTGCTTGACTTATAAGTGACTTATAAGCCAAGTATTAGCCACTTTTGCTTTATGCAAGTATAGTCACTTATAAGTGACTTATAAGTCAAGTATTAGCCCTTTATACTTTATCAAGTATGAGTCACTTATAAGTCACTTATAAGTGAAGTACAGCACTGCCTCTAAGATCTTAATTTAGAACAGAGCTTCAAATCATGCAGGGGTTGCATGATGTTTAAAGTTTTTTTTTTACATATATACATATGCATCTTCACCTAAGATGAAATAATTAAGTTAACATTTTATGGAAAAAAAATCCCTTTCATATGACATTCTTTGATGATGCAAACTTTATGTATTATTTCAGTTCACAAACAAAAATGTTTGACAAAAAGAAATCAATTAAGATTTAATGACCTTGAGGTTTCTTCAAATTTATGAAATCTGAAAGCAACTGAGTCAATTGATTCAAAATTTCAGGCAAAGGAAGTTAAAATAAAAAGATAATGTGAATAGAACCTACTTGTTGAACCTGATGTAAAGGCATACTCAAAATAAATTTGAAATCTCCAACAACATCCTTTCACAGAGACTAACTTAGTTTCAAATTCTTGTTGTTCATCTCTTCAGAGACAAAGTTTCTGATTGGTTAGCTTGAATACCCACAATGCAACTCAAGAGAAGTCTAGTATAGTGTAAAAATTCTAAGTCCACACTTATTCTGGCTAATACCATACTGATCTTCACTTATAAGTGAAGTATAAGTGAAATATTCACTGATATTTGGCTAATCTTCACTTATAAGTGAAGTATTAACAAAATCTGTTCCTCACTTATACTTAATCTGACTTATAGTACACTTATAAGTAAATTTCAAAACTTATAGGTGACTGATAAGTGGCTTATAAGTGAAGTATAAAACACTTATAAGTTTCTATTGGTTTTTTTCTGTAAGGGACTATAGAATTCTAAACCCAGATAAAAAAATATACACTATAAAATCCATTAAAACAAGGCCGCCTTGATTATATTGTTATTTCAGATAGTCTTTCAAATTTGGTTGAAAA